TCTAAATTTTCAGAAGCATAAACTGACCTAAATGTTACATTTGTTCATTTTAAAGAAGTTAGTATCATTCTTCTTTTCACCATTGACGTGTTCTAAGTCATGCTCATAAAATAAAATGTACTATATAGAAAATGCTTGTGTATAAAATTGGCATTTTAAAGAAGCTTTTATTTTTTAATGATTTTAAATTTTCTTTATTATCAATTTGTTCTTAAAGATCAGGATTTAAAGAGTTTCTAAAGCCATGTTGAAGTATTTTTAAAAAGATATAAGGTGATTTATACACTGCTAAAGCAATTTTTAGGATTCTTAGAAATACCAGTTTTATCTTATGGATGGATTACCTTGACATTAAGATAGCTACTTGCTCCTATATGGTCTTGTGTTCTTCCTTCTGAAGTGGGTTTCCTTCCTATCAAGGCACACGTTACACTGCAGTGTGCTGAATTCTCTGTGATAATAATGTAAACAAGTGCCCAGGTAGTGGAGGGAAGGAGCCTGTAGAGATTCCTTAAAGAGGAAGTAACAATTAAACTGTCCCTTGGAGGATTAGTAGAAATTTCCTTGGCAGAGAAAGGGGAGTTCAGAATAATCTCAAGAAATATTCTGGTATTGATAAGTTATATTTATGTTTTCTAGCAACTAGTTAAAATGTTAGAAAATATTAACAAAGTTAGCATTTGAGCAGTGTGTCATTTATGATGTACACTTTAATCACATATATATAAAGTTAGGGCTTAAAATAGTTCTTATCACCTGTAATTACAGGATAAATTATTTACAAAACAGTTCCATTGTTCAGTGGGGAGGGGGTCTGGGATCTTCAGAGAAGGAAAGATGGGGAAGAACTGGTCCCTTCTAATTCTTAGGGAATTGAGGTAAAGCACTAAGGGTTATGAAGATCAAAGAACAGGGAGACTGCTACTTTCCACTAGCAGAAATGGCAAAGAATAAAGGAAAATATCTCTTAGGAAAGCAGAAGTTTAAAATTTCATAAATAATTCTTGATATAATGGAAAATAATAATCTTTTAAAATTGAATGCTGTTCATTCTGAAGTAACTTACGATTCTAAATGGTATGATCTCTTCTCTAAAAGACTACTTGGAGGAAATGAGCTGGACGTTTGGTTTATATTTCTATTAGAGATTTTTTTCCTTTCATTTAGTCATCAAATATTTATTGATTTTCTGGCTTTGTATATACATATTTTTTTTACTTTGGGTTATCCCATTCATTCTCAGTAGGTAACTGAAACATGTAGAAATGAGAATTTATGCCTATAAATGTATTGCCACATGTCTGAGTACTGACTGTGCTGTTCAGTTCATCTCAGATATTATAAAGAACATTTTAGTCCACAAATTTTGCCTAATTTGGAAAACTTTATAAAATGCATAGCCTTGATTTTTCAGTCATTCATAGCACTACATGTTCTCTCAAGTCGGGATGATGTAATATGACTTCTAAGGGAAGGCACCAGATTGAAATATTATTTTCTTTGGGTTTTCATTGGTACTTGCCATTTGGTGAAGAGAACATTCTATTTCTTTCAGATCAGTGGACTGTAGAAAATATTTTTCCAGAAAATTGTTTCTCATATTAATTACAAGACTGTGAACCTTGAAAATTCCTAAGCACAGGGCAGTGATCTTTATCTGCTTTGTTCACTATATGTCCAACCACCTAGAACAGTGCCTTTGTCGGTGTTAAATAAATATGTGTTGAATGAATGAATCTGTAGCACACCTTTTAATAGATACATGCCACTTTTTTATTCTGTTGGCCTTTGATCTGAATAAAGAGCACTATTATTTATCTTTTTCTTCTACTAGGTTTTTCTTTTTCTCTGGAACGCATGGGAATAAAAGTTTCTCCAGCTTCTTGAAAAAGATAGTTTGTGCCTTAGGAGGGCATACCTATACCCTACCCCAACCCCATCCCCACACACTTCAAATATTTATTGCTACTTACAGTATGCTAATCTTTGTAATTAAAGGTAATACTAGAAATAATTAACACAGAATTATGGGGTCTTTTAATTATTATTTCCCAAGAGACTTTTGAGATCATCTAATTCTCTCATTTTAAGGTTGAGAAAACTAAAGCCCTGAAAGGTTTTTAGTTTAGGGTCTTCTACTAATTAGTGGTGGTGCAAAAACTAGAATCCAGGCCTTTGACTCCCAGTCAGATATTTTTCCTACACACATTATAAATAACTTTTTAAGCTCATTTTTCAAGGGGAAGCCTTTTCCATTTAAAATATTGATTCATCATCCGGACACCTTCAAGCAAATATTTTGATGCCCAAACTATTAAAAAAAAAAAAAGTTCTCCAAATATAAAGAGTAAACAGACTTTCATAGCTACGGGCTTTTTTGAAGATCCTGCTCTTCCCAGCTTGTCCGCACAGAGATTACTGCCAGGTCTGTCAGTAGACGTACTTTGTATTATTAATAGGTAATCTCTTAGATAAGCACTTTATCATAAAAGAATTTAAACTTGTTTCAATATCTTGAATTATATTTGAAAGCAAATTGACTTCTGAACACTGAAAAACAAATGTTAGTAGAATATTCTGTTGCTAATATGAAAACTCTTCTGGGTTCTTTTGCTGTGTCTGTACCTCAGTAAGTAGGAAGTTGAGGACGTACATGGTTAACTAGATAAATTAGGAATCAATCTGAATATTGAGAGCTTATGTTATAACAGCACTCATTTGATATTAAAGTGCTTTACCCATAATAATGTTTATATTTTAGGGAAAAGTAGGTTTTTATCTAAGCTAGATTTGGGTGGTATTTTTTTTTTTGCTTTAATTTTCTAACTATAGATCCAAAATATAAGTGGTTTTCTCTTTTCTTTCTTTCTTTTTTTTTTTTTTTTTGGCCAAAAAAATATTTGAACTTCTTGGAGGAGGGCATACAAGAGGAAATAAATTAAAAGAGAGACACTCTCTCTCTCCCAATCTTATTCTAGAGGGTCCTGCAGGTTCCCAGCCACCACATGCACAACCTTTCCCTCTCAATAATCCCTTCCCTTGATGAGGCCTCATGGTTGGATAGGAGACAATCCCATTAAAATACATTTATTCACAATGCCATTGATTAGAGAAAAAATTTCTCTTTTCAAATAGTCCATTTATATTAATACTATAACATTATTTTACATTCAGAGGAACATACAAATCTCAAATGCTCTATTTCAAATAAGGTACATTTCAGTGTTCATTGATATTTAGTAATGTTTTAATGTAACTTCTACCTTGTATTTTGAAGTGATCTTATTATAAACAGGGATTATTAGTAACCTATTTTTATTTCTCCATGTTTCAAAAAGTAAATTGATACTGTACTTTGACATGACATTTAATTATCAAATTTTTTGGATGAGTCCAGAATTTAAAAGACAGTTTCATAAATGAAATTAGGTGATTGGGAAAATAGCAAAGGGGAGTTGTGAATATTGAGATAAACTTCTAGTTGACAGTATAGTTAATTAATTAATCTAATTTAGAGTAGAGTTTCAGAAATGATCAAAGAGACAACTTTGATCAAATGTGTGAAAACTAAACATTTTTTAATGTTAAAACTGGAAAATCCACTTAGGTTTTATCAGCTAAAGGTGACAATTTTATCTGAATAACCTACTGTTTATGTCCATTTAAAGTAATCTCCTAGAAATACATTAACAGATAAGAACACAGTGAGCAAAAAGTCATGTTACTTAATTCTAAAGTTCTTAATGGTTTGTAAGACCCTCCAAAAGATATTACAGAAAAGTCTATACTGCATCAATTTGTTAGGATTTTATTTTTCAGATGCTTCTTTTAAAAGAAAATATGTGTAGTCATGAATTGCAGGCCTAATTTCTAAAATATTTCTAAAATTTCTAAATATTTGTAGAAAATGCATTATAAATGTGGAATTTAATTATGTAAAGTACTGTAGATTTGGCTTGCCTAAGCCTTTAGTAAGTTGATTCTTAATTTATATTAATTCATTCTTAATATTTTACTTAATATTTCAACCCTTTTGAATTGATAATTTGCTTATATTACATGTAATTAATATTACATGTAATTATATATAATTATATATATTATAATTAACCAAAACTATAAAAATGGAATATTGAATAATTTTAGGAATATACTTTTAAAACATTCATGCCCAAATCTGAATGATCAGAAATACTCTCCTTCCACTCAACATTGGACAATCATTAAAATGATACCTTTAGGATATTTTTCAGACAGTTTTGGCACTAAGTCATCACATCTTAGCAGCCTCCAATTCATCCAACAAGATAAATTGACTTCAGTTTTAATATAAGTCCATTTTTTTCTGTTGTTAAAAGTACACACCTCATTGTCTGCTAGGCTCAAAATATGCAAAGAAATTTCAACTTTAAAATTTATAATCAGTTTTGAATTGTAGCAAACCCTTAAGGAAGGAAAGTCAAAGCTCTTCTAACCACAAATGACCCATGGAAAAGAAATTTCTTTCCCTTAAACAGAACTATGAAAGAAAAGATGAAGAAATTTGGCAGCTTTAAAATTACTAAAGGAAAGCAATAACCAAATTGGATAATTCAATCAAAAATTTATATTCAAAATCTAAATTGTATAATGATGTAGCCAGTAATCCTCTTCATAAAGTCTTCCTGAGAGTCAATTGCCTGAATTTCTTAATCTTACTTTTGCCAGTAAGATAGCATTATCTTAATAATACACATTTTAAAAAATATTTTCTACAGTTAACTTTAGTCATCTTTGATATTTTTACATTTTCTTTGGAAAAATCTTCCAGGTATTCTACAGAATAAAAAATAGGATGGTAATTGTTCTTAAAAGCCTTTATTCTACTGAAAGAACCACATAAGGAAGTAAATTGATTTGTTTCATGTAATTCTAAAATTCTTTTAAGTAGTTTATTTTCAGATCTGTATTTTACATTGTATTTTGTTTGTTTGTTTGTTTCGTTTATTTTACTTCAATAGCCTTTTATGTCACCTCGGTACCCTGGAGGTCCAAGGCCCCCACTGAGGATACCCAACCAGGTAAGATTTGTGTGTGCTACTTAAGTTTGGTGCTTTTTTTTTTTTTTTAAGAATCAGTAAAGATCTTGAAAATGTCACAAATATTTCCTACCTATAAAAATGTTAAATTATCCTTCATCCCATTTAATGCTACTTCTAATGATATACAGTCTACTTCAAGAGTTGGCAAACTACAGCCCATAGTTTGGCTGAGTGTTTTTGCAAATAAAATTTTATTGGAACACTGCCATACTCATTCATGTATTGCCTGTGGCTTCTTTTCCACTGCAATAGCAGGTTTGAGTGCTCATGATGGAGACCATATGTGGCCTGCAACCCTAAAATATTTACTGTCTGGATCTTTGTAGAAAAGTTTGCTGACCCTTAGAGTCTACCATATACTTTGAACCTAATTTTTGAAATATGTTTAATTTTGGTACATGCGGATTATACTCTAAAGGATGGCAATAAAATTTTCTATGAACATACTTCAGTTTATTTTTATATGACATACTTTCAGTAACAAGGCTGTAACATTCATATCAGTTTTGCCCAATTATAGTGGCCTATCAGGCATATAATTAGCTGCTTCTAGAAGGGTTAGATCTATTAATAGTTAATGATAGATCATGCAACTATTTTTACCTACAAAGCTCTGAGATTTCATAAACTTTTTCCTCAATAGTATATCGGTATCATAAATACTTATTTGCTAAAGAGAACAAAGCACAATTGTTACTTGCAAGTAGTTTATGGTTCAGTTTTAGGATACACCGTGCAAGTGTGTGTATACATATATACATGAGTGTATATGTACGTATGTATATGTATGTATTTATATATATACATATATATGTATACAAAACACAAGAAGAAATTACATGCTTAACATATGGAATATTTATATCAAGATAATTGTTTTGTCACTTTCCTTAATTCTGATTTTTGTATACCTCATCATTTTCCCAGCTCCAAAGTAACCCTGTTACCACAGTAAATTCTTTTTCATTCTTTTTCTATTTCCGCTTCCTTCCTGACCAAAAACAGAACAAGAAAGCTGTGCTTTCTTTACAGCACATTGGATAGCAATGGAGTTCTAACTCTTGCTGAAATTACGCAGTGTCCCTGAAGTGTCCCAGTTCCTGGTCTTCTCTGCATCTAATGCACAGCAAGGAGGGCCAGCACTTACATTCACCCCCGGGGAGAACTTTAAGCTGGCAGCAGTGCAGGGAGTCCACACATTAGCAGCTGGAGGAGTTACCTCCTTCACACTGAATCTACATTCAGTGCATAGGGCGAGGGGAACATGGCATGAAGTAGGAAAGGGAAGTGTTTCAACATAAAGAAATTATATTTTCTCTGTGGGTGAACCTGTATATGGTGACAGTCAGATCTACTTATAGATGCCCGAGTTCTTTAAATTTCTTTTTTAAGGACAGAAAGTTGTATCTTTCACTGGAATCTTCATGGTGTCTCAGATATCCTATCCAAAGCTTTGTATATTTCATAGATGTAAGAGGTTTGTAAAAATCTGAATTGGGGAAATGTGAATTTCTTGTTCAAGTATGTTATGTTTCTTAGACAAGTATATATATATGTATATATTCCATATGAATAATGAAAATTGCATGGAATTATTGGAATTGCATCCATCTGACATTGTCGAAATGCCTGCTATGTTTGTGATACTAAGCTATGTTCCATATCTAAAGAAACTGTTATAATGAAAAGATGTACTTTTAGGAAGAGGAGTAGGTTGGTGGTGGGGATGTGGAATTGTACATCTAGATTGTTTGAAATTTTTTTAAAGAACAAGTATATAATGCCCTTGGATTTTTAAAAAAGGCAATTAAAAAATTCAAAGTAATACAGAGTTATGACATAGGTTCTTTTTTCTCAAGAACTTTAAACAGTCTTTACCTAATTATATTTTGAAACAATTTTACTCTTCTCTGAGTGGCCTTTTTTGCTCCCCTCCCCATATACAGTTAAATCTCATTAATCCAAATATCTATCTTTCAAATTTTGTAACACAATAGCTTCTCTAGAATTTATAATTACTAATGATTAGACTATAGTTTTTAAGTTCTTCTGAGATGGTTTTCATGGTTCTGGATTAAATCCACAATGAGTTATATATAGGACTGGGTATTTGGAACCTAGTATATCACTATGCCTAGAAAATGCAAGAAGGGATAATAGTACCTAAAATGATGAAAGGAAAGTAAAATTACAAAAATATGCAATATAGCAAAGAATAAATATCTATAAGAGAACATATGAAACACAGAAATCACACTGGAATTGGTTCAACTATCAGAATAGCTTGGTGGTGTTAAGCATACATGACCTGGAGGTGTTTATCCTTCTCACAGATAAAATGTTTAATCTGAAAAATTCACAACGTTCATCCAACACTATGCTAAGGAAACCAACACAGCCAGAAGCACAGAAACTGTCAATGAGTGACATCAAGAATAAACTAGTGTTTGATTGATCCTATAGAATTCTGAGAATTTATACTGTTTCTCATCATTCCTGAAATTCTGTAAACAGGTGTGTGAATTGAAGTAACATAGGTAATAATGCTGTTGATCATTTTATATCCTAAAGCTGATTTTGACATTCTAAAAGCACACTACATCTGACCATTCTACTGAAACTCTCAAAAATATTTGTTCAATAATAGACAGATGAGTGGTTCAATAAATTATATTATTTCCAAATGGTGGAATAGTATGCAGCTATTAAAAGGCATGTTGTAGAATTAAATTTGCTATGGTAAAATGTTTATGATCTATTATCAAATACAAAAAAGGCACAAAACATATCACCTTTGCTGTTATCACTGTACAAACTGAGTTCCTCCACTCAGCTCCTGACCCAACACACACATACACATGTCAACGCAAGGGCCGTGTCTGTATTTCTGTTTGGTAGGCTTATAAGTAATTTCTTTTTTTATTTCTATATTTTTTAAGTTTGCATTCAACAGGAACTTCATTTGTGTTTAGATAAAGATTATTAATTATGTACATAAAGATATTTTATTCTTCTGGATATTCAATAT